TTCATAGTAGTTCTACGCAAAAAATATACAGCTTGTCAGAGATATTAAAACGCTCAAAATAATTTAATTCTTAACATTCACTTTGTGATATAATGAGAATAAAGCAATAATTAATATAACCGAAACCGCGATCGGTTCTACAAGATATATGTAGAGTAAATAAACATTTTTTTTATTAACTACTTGTAAAGAAATGATATCAAATTTTTTTGTATAATTACATAAATATATTTTTATATAATTGAAACTTTGTTATAATATATATTATGTTTTTACAGTTGAACGGGATAAACACCCAGGGTGAGAACATTGCGGACAATGGCGGCGTAAAAGAAGCCTATTATGCGTACAAAGAATGGGTCAAACGAAACAATCCGGAACAGAGATTGCCAGGCTTGCCATACAGCCCGGAACAAATGTTCTGGATAAGCCTGGCCAACATTTATTGCAATAAGTTTCGACCGGAAGCACGGAAACGACAGATTATGTGGGATTCCCATAGTCCGGAAGAATTTCGTATTCAAGGAATGCTGTCGAACATGGAGGAGTTCTCGCGCGACTTTAATTGCTCAATCGACTCCAGAATGAATCCAAAGAAAAAATGTACCGTGTGGTAGATCTCAGACCTCAGATGTCTGTAAAATATGTATAGCGATACCGGTTGATATCGTTTTCAATTTTAAAAGTTGCAGTTCTGCATTCGTTATTGAAACAATCAATATTATTTTGACGGCTGGCACTAAAGACATTTACGTCGAAATGCATGCCATTCCTGTTTTCTAAGGGACAAAATAGCATTTGGTTTCAGATACCAAACAGCTTCATCATAAAGAAATTAAAATAATTATTTATTTTTTCACAATTTCTGAATATTTGTATTGTTGTTTTTAAGATTAATGAATGCAGTGGAGATGTCGATATTATATTGTAGCTAGGATACAGAGATAGCTTGTTTACTTTTTACAATATTCTGCCGTAATAAAGAATATTTTAACAGTGATATGATATAATTTTATCTATTTTCCTTATTTAACATTTAACCCAAATGGATAAATGCACTAAATTGATTAGATGTCTCCCGAATCAAAGTTAATCAAACTATCGTATACACGGATAACTGTGTATGTGCGTCTTGATCTAAATCATGTGTTTTAGTAATTAAAAAGTAAATAAAATAAAAATAAAAAGTGTATAAAATGTGTATATTTGTACAATATAATTAGCGAAAAAAAAAAAGAAATAAAAAAAATTTCAGTTTTTTTACAGAAAAAAATTTTCCAATTTTTTCGAAAATATTTTACAATGTATCATGAAAATTTTTTCAAACATATTCGACAATGACGATAATATTAAGAACTCAAAGATAAAAATCTAAAAAAGGTTTTGTTTCAGATATCATACACTCTTTGTGTTTATACTTTTAAATTCCTTATCGTTTGGATTACGACACGATGGACATACTGACAAGTACATTTGATTCGAATTTTCATAGTAATTTGTTTTTGTGAGCCAAGATGAAAAGAATGCATATTTCTGGCAGAATAGCGCGCGCGTCAGCTCGATATATCGTAAAGACATATTTTAAAAAGAACGAAGAAAACCGTGCTCAAAATGATATTAATCAATGATATTAAACAGTTTATAAAGAGTCTGAAGAAGGTGAGAGAATACATAAAAATTTTAATTTAAGATAATAAAAAAATGAGTCTTATCAATACTTTGATATCCTTCTAATTTAGAATTGGAATCTTAATAATAAAAATTTCTCTCTTTTCTTTCCTTTAGTATTTTTCTCTTTATCCAAAAAATTACAATAAATTAAAATAAAAGAAATATATATAATACAAATAAAATAGATTCGTTACCTTAAAATGAACAAAGAATTATGATACTTTATCTTGGACTCGTTTTTCATATTTATTATTTAAGTATGTTATTGCGCTTGAAGTTTTCGCATAAAAATACATATGGAAAGAAAATCAGAAATAAAACACAATAGTTTTTAACTTAAAAATTGATTGAATTTAAAAATTTAAAACTATAACAAAGAGTAAAGTTTCTTTTTTTATATAATAGAAATCAGGAAAAAATATTTATGTTTAGAGTTGAATCTTAATAAAAATAAATAGTGCTTTATATTAGAAAAAGCTACTCGAACAGTTAACTTTTTGTTAGATTAAACATTTTAAAAATATTAAATTTGTCTACAAATATCTTTTTCGGATAAAAGATTAGTAGAATATTTAAATATAACAAAAATAAAGAATTATCTATTGATATAAGAAATTATTAAATATGTTAGATACATATTCTCTTTAATTATTTTCCCAAATATTTGTCCGAGATTTAATATTTTATAAATTATACATAATTATATATACATATATACAATAATTATGTCGATGCGTAAATATATATCTGATTAAATTTTTAAATTCGTTACTCATTAATAAAATTTTTTGTCACTCACCGGTCGATGCGCAACAGTAGAGTTATCAGGCACGTAGCTACGATGATTCTGTAACATCCAAATGTAAGATCCAAATTAAAATATCACTCTTACAGACAATAATTAATCTAGTTAATAATTTAGAAAATGATTTTTACACGCATAAAACTTTTTAATGGCTTTTCAATTAAAATTTCTATTAAAATAATTATACAAATATTTCACAAAAGATTTTTCTAAGAATAAACTGTTTTTATAAAGTTTAATCCTTTTTCTCTCGTTGAAATGCTTGCTGCAACAGTGAACTAATCTACATTTTAAAATAACGGAGAAAATAAATTCTAAAGTAATAAACTTACAAAGCTTATTAGAGTACATATTCTCCATTTTTGCAAAATGTTGATTAATTGTTGCCACTGTTACAGTAAGTCCTTCCCAATTATTATTTTTAAATCATTAAAGTAAAACTATCCAAATAAGAAAAAATGACTAATATTATAACGTAAGTATTATAAACAATAATACTTACCGCAAGGTTGCTCCACCGGGGCCTGATGCCTCTCCTAGGCTTCCTCCTCCTCTTTCTTCTCTCAGAACATCTATATGAAATAACAAAGAAAATAAATTCTAAAGTGATAAACTTACAAAGCTTATTAGAGTACATATTCTCCATTTTTGCAAAATGTTGATTAATTGTTGCCACTGTTACAGTAAGTTCTTCCCAATTATTATTTTTAAATCATCAAAGTAAAACTATCCAAATGGGAAGAAATGACTAATACTATAACGTAATTATAAGCAATAATACTTACCGCAAGGTTGCTCCACCGAAGCCTGATGCCTCTCCTAGGCCTCCTCCTCCTCTTTCTTCTCTCATAGACGGAGAGCTGGCTACACGGATTTCAAAATTACTCGGTACAAGGCCAGTTCCTACCTAAAAAGGTTCGATTAGTATCGCTATTAACGAAAACGCACTTCTGCCGC